ACTGTTATGCCTCTACTAAGCACTGAGCACTCACCGCATTACATGAACAAGAGACCTCTCCTGAGTCGTTTGTATATAAAAAAAAAAAAAAAAGTTTATTGTAGTTCGAAATGCATAGTTTAAGAAAATAAAACGATCTGGGTGTAATTACAAATAAAACCTTTCGGCTAAAGCCGCATTCACTTGGTTGAAAGTTTCAGTAGATTTTCGTCACTAAAGTGCAGTCAGTTTTGGCCTAAATTTCTAATTAGGGGAAATGGTGAACACACACGACTCATTCCACAACAACAACTATAGCTATATTATCGGTTTGTTTTTTTTTTTTTTCTATTTTTTTTTAAATACTTGAAAACGAAAAATGTTTTTATGAAATTTCAAGCAACAAACTTAGGGTTTTGCCGTCAGAAGCCTTATAATTTCATTAAGCCAGCTTTTTATTATAAACGTGTTAAATTAAGTTGTCATCACGAAGCTTAATTAAATTCTTTTGTTGAAACATTGACAACAAAATATTTTGCGGAAGTTTTCATTCCTCCCTTTTTTTTTTGTTTTTTTTGCAATTATATTGCAGCAAGAATGTATCTTTGTGCGGATACAGGAAAACTCTAACGTTATAAAATGTTAGAAAGTTTTCTTTTTTCTAAAAAAAAAAAAAAAAAAAAAAAAGAAAAAAACAAAATAATATTAAAGAAAAAAGAAAAAAAAAAAAAAAAAAAAAAACGAAAGAAAGGTGAACGTGAATTTTTAATAGAAATTAAGAACAAATGAGAGGGTAAAGTACACATTAATTCAATGTTAATGTCATAGTTAAAACATACGTGCCGGCGAAAGTCTACAAATAATTTGCATAGCATACTTATACGTGTTTGTATATCGTATGTATGCCGCAGAGGGACAGAGAGAGAGAGAGAGAGAGAGAGAGTAGATGGTGAAAGATAACGCGCAGACAAAAAGCTAAAATGTTTAACTAATGTGCGTGTATAGAATATGTAAACGACACTATGCCCATCTGTCTATTGTTCCATCTCTCTATCTCTCTCTGTATATATATATATCTATCTAACCATCCATCCATCTATCTATCCATCTATCCATTCATTTAGCAATTGACTATGAAAAAGTGACATTATTTTGCATATATACACACATGCAGGCGTACTTACGTAATGTATGTAAGTATAAAAGAATTTGAACGTTGCGTTGCATGAAACCAGGCAATAACATGTTATGTACCTAAAATTATGCTATAGTTATAATATAGCACACTTTCGCTGGCAATTATGCACATCAGCTTCTCTTTACCTTCTACTTTTTTTTTTTTTGTTTTTTTTTTTTTTATGTTTTATGTGAACAAAGCTCGAAACGATGACATCAACAGCATGTGACACTATTGCTATGCGATTGTACGTGTGCGCGAGCGTTTGTGTGTGCGCGTGTGTGTGTTTAGATATGCGAGCACGACTGTGCATGTTTGTGATATTAAAGAACATCAACGGAATTTTAATTAAGTCTCACAGCGTACACGATCAGCTAAAGCAAACAAATTCTTCCTTGCTTTCTTATGCTATTTTTTTATTTTTTTTTTATTTTCATTTTTTTATTTTCGTTTTTATACCAAAATTAAGTGAGACAAAAGAAAAATAAAAAATGCCTTCTCTTTGCCAACTAATTAATTTCCTTTAAATTTATTAAGTTTTGGTTTGTTTTTTCTTTCCTAAAGTTTTCTTATTGTAGTTTCGGTAACTAATGGTGGCGATGATGACGATACTGATGATATGGATGATGGCGTTGTGGTTATATTTGCTACTTTTGTAAATTGAGGAAATTTGTCTAAATGCCTGCCAATGACAGTGCCGTAAAGAGCTTTTCATTCTTCTGCCTTTTTTTTGTTTTACTTTTCTTTTTTTTTTAATATAGTTTGCTTATATCATAAGAGAAATTAAAATTTTCTTTGAAAATATCATGAACTTTCTCTTTTCTCACTTTTCCACATTATTTTAGCTACTCTTGGTAGTAGTAGTAGTAGAAGTCCTGGTAGTAGTGGTAGTTGAAGTGCTTGTGGCAGAGATGAATAAAGTCTTTGGAGATTTGAAGAAAATTTTTTACTTTGAAAAAGTTTTCCAAGTAAGAGGTAAGGTGTTTTGAATACTTCTTAGTAAAAGGATTATTATTAAGCGGAGATGGCTAATGATATTTCACTTGTATGCCGCGTCAAAAAGTTTTCCATTTTATAAAATAAATTTTATTGAGTATCGCAAAACCGTGCAAGGATTAAATGAAGACAATTTTTGACGATATGCTGTATATATCATAGGGAAGACCATATGCTGCTCCTTAATTCCGTTATTAATAAACTTGAACAGGCATTGGTAATGAGACTTTCAGTGAAGACAGCACCTCAACCACCAATTAATTAATTATCTCTGTGATTGGCTTGGAGAATCCTATTAAACGAGTTAAGCTTCTGCGACTGCATGCAGATACCATACTTTGTCAACTCTCGCTGCGACGCAACTGAACTTCTTCCTATTTTCTCACCAATGTATGCTTTCAACCTACCATTACATGCAATGTTCGCTACATTGTGTGCCCCGTTTTCCGCATTCTCCAACTAACCAGTTGACAGCACAGTTCTGTTGTACTTTATGTGTCGGGTCAAGGTAAGTTCTTAATGTCATGTCTGGTCTTTTTACTTAGCGCATCTCTCGTAGGACATGACGGGAATACTTTCAATATACCTCATCAGCTTGTTGCGAAGTGGAGTGGAGTGAGTAATGCGTATTAGATAAAATGCATTTGCATCCGTTGCTTGTAAAAGTTCATGTGGCACGGTGCGAAGTGAATTTGTAAATATTCGGACCTGCTAGAGATGGTTTGCCAAATTTCGTTTCGGGAGAAAAGACGATCTAGGCGATAACAGTATTTTGCCGTCCATGGTGGAGAGTAAGCCGCTGCTTTGTAATTGCAAAGGAACTCGACAATTTGACTGCTGAGGAACACATCAAACATCATTAAATGCAAACATTTTTCCGCTAACCTAATACCTTTTTGAGTTCACTATTGAACTAAAACGCTCTTAATGCTTTACTCCGTATATTTGCGAAACTCATCATAAAGCAGTTAAACCTAATCGATTTATCAAGAATACTACGGGCTTTTCAAATGCAACAATTTATTGGAATCTTATAAATTCCAAACTTGAATCACAATGAAAGCTTCTTCAATTACAATTTCATCACTTTAAATGAACAGTAACCTCTTGCAAGGCAGTAATGAGTATAAGCATACATTCTAGCCAGACTTTCAACTACAACGTAGCTAAAGATACAAAACCATTAAAAGAGATTTTGAAAACAATTTTTGGGAATGTTTTATATCGGTCGGAAACGAAAATTCAGAAGAGAAATCCGGTTCAACGAGGAACGACTTTTATGCTTGGCATTGGCAATTGGATCTGTGAGTGTGGGTCATTGACACGCATTGATAACCTTTTCCACGCCAATAACGTGGCAAAAATTAGTTAGCGACATGATCAATGTTTTATGTGTCGCAAAAGTTGATTGAGTTTTATTATTTGAAGGAAGTAAGAAAAAGTACAAATTTATGGTCTAACGCGTTAGGAATCGAATACGTTGTTCTGCCCGAGATGCTCACGCACTAATCGCTGCTCCTTACGCGAGTGAGCGAATTGAAGGGTCATTATTATAAATTTTTCCAACATTGAGGCCATGTTCTCAATTCACAAGAAACTCTGTCTGTCTGGTTGTCCGTCCGAACTAAGAGATCGCTAATTTCGCGATATGCCGATAAAATGAGGCACACCGACGGGTTTTTCCCCAAGGATTAAAGCTATTGGAAATGGGTTGGATGAGACCAGTTTTCGACCAATTCCAATAAAACTTGTTATTTTGTAACGGTATTCAGTACTGTTTTCTCTTATGTTTTCTTCTGAAGAAATTTATAAAAAACAATTTTTATTGATTGAATTTTTATAATTGCAGAAGCGACATGGTCCTGGCTCCTATATTATCAAAAATATCCGTTAACTTTGCTTTGAAAGCTATCGAAAAGGGCAGCTTTAAATCGACATCATTCGGACAGGCTTTGCTATTTATCGTGAAAACCGAGTGTTCAGCTAAGGCGTCAGTGCCTGTACTGCGGCAAACCGGCCAGCAGAAATTTAAGCCATAGTTTAGGCGGTAAACTCTGCAACGGTCCACTTGCGACATCCTATTCGAAAAACCTTTTGACAAACTGCTGTCATCCGTCAGCTTTATCTTGAGGAGACTTGAGAGACTTTCAATCTATGAACTGAGAATTCTCAAGGTCTTTTCTGCTACTACTACTACGAAATTGTAATTAAGTTAAGACAACAACGATTGTGTTCCGGCTTTAAAGTTTGTAAGTTTGTCTATAAGTTCTTGTGCCGACATTATGAAAAAATGGCCTCCGAAGACGGTAAGAGAATACGTAGTTCTTTTAGAAAGCATAATCGCTTGTTGGGAATATCTGCCAAATTTCAGAGGTTTTATTTTAAACGCATTGTTAACTATACAAGAAGTTTTTAATTCCATTCAAAGAAAGTTTTTTAACCCGAAAATAATTTGATGCGTTGCATTATTATTATTGGAACCATCTTAGGTAGCACGGATTACCCTTTTTCTCTTCCCGTAACTTTCAGGAAATATTGCACCGTCCCCGGCGCATAAATTGGGATACGTTCTACTTTCACTAGTTTTCCATTGATTGCAACCGCTTCCCGGAGATTTCGAGTGTAGATAAACATACGAATCGTTTTGAGGCGAAAAATCGTAATTGCAAACAAAAAAGTAACAAAAGCTGAAAGTTACATAGAGAAAATATTATATCGTAAAGGAATGCTGAACGCCAAGAGCAGTTAATTTTTAAAACGTACTTCGAACGTTCTCCTGCCTTTACAACACAATTTCGACAAACCGAGATTGCACAACCGATGCGACTCGTTCGATCCATTATCATTGTTATGAAATCACTCGCGACTGCATTTCTAATAACAATGTGTAAATATTGCTTGGTTTTAGCCCTAATTGATGAGAATTTATTGAATACTTGTCAGTGTGTAAATGCATTTGGGTTACGGGATCGTCAATTTCCTGACTCTGCGATTCAAACTCGTTAAGCACGTCGTGAATGAAACCCATTGCTTTAATTTCTGTGTTCGTCATTTTGCTTGCTTTGGTTTGACCAGGAAATTGGAAACGTGGTGTAGTCTGGCAAACATTTTTAGACTCAATGTTGCAGCGTTCAGCGAGTGCATGGGCTACGTAAGCTAATTCGTCATCCCATATAAGTTCCCGCATACGCGCAGCTATCGGGAATTTTTTTTTCGATTTTAGGATAATTTCGTCACCACCGGCAATGCGATGACGACATTCATTGTGAAAACGCAATATGTAATTCTTTAGTTTTTCCGTCATTGGATAATTAAAGTAGTGTTCACCCTTCCGCCTCTTTAAATAGAATGGTTACTCATCTTTATATATTTTCTTTACTTCAACCGAAATCGTTTACCAAAACACCAGCTTCACAGGCAATGTGCACCATAGCTAAGCCTGTTTCTTCTGCTTTCATATGGCCACACAACTCATTGACATCTCTTTTCTTCGAACAAAAATTAAAACCAATAGCACCGAAGCGTTCGAATTGCAAGAGATTGATCCCAATGATTATATAATAAATTAAGAAAAAGATTTTATTCATGATTGATATTTTTGCTTCTTTTTTTTCTCTACTATTGACAAAATCAACTGATTTCTAATGACTTTAAAAGCATTTTGAAATTGTTAAAAAAACTTTTTATTTCTTCGAATATTTTGAAATCGTTGCTAACTTTAATGGAAAGAAGAAAAATTTGCTTTTTTTTTTAGTTGTTCGCAGTGAGTGATTGAGCTCTGTATATCACTATAAAAGATGCGGATGGGTGTTGCATACATCCTCACATATTTAATACATCCTTGCATAGTAAGTGAGATATATAATTACACAAGGATGTAAAGGAAATCCAAAGAAAATATTTTGGGTGTCACGTTGTTAGTGGACTTCCACGGTAAAGTGGATCTCTAAGTTAGGGAATTGCTATTAAAGGAGTTCTATGCTAGATAATCCTTCTGAGAAAATAAGTGTTAGGAACTTGAAAATACGCTCCGTGCCAAAATATATTATGGTAATGTAGCCAACAGAATATTAACAAAGCAAAAAAGAAAATCTTGATAAAGAAACTTTCAACATTATCCCGACAAAAACGTAACGTCGTGAAAGTACGTGGCCATAAAATGTTTATCAAGCTTACGTTTTATCAAAACACACGTTTGTTTTCTTATATTCATTATTAACTGTTACGCTCGCATCAATGTTAAATGACAATTAATTGTTCAATCGAAGTCATTTGTTTGCCAAACCCATGTAACCATAAAAAGAAATTTGTTTTATGAATCATCAGCTTGCAGAGGTCAGTCAGTCCGAGGTTTCTAACGTCACGCTTGCTTTAGCATCAGATCTTCACTGCTTTTCGTTGAAATAATCTTTAGCCTTCCTATATAAATCACAAATGTATATAGTTTTCAATTCGCCCTTACTTAGGACAAAGACAGCGGAAGTTATTAGATATTATGAATACGGCACAGCTTGCTTCCAGGTATAATCCAAGATGTTGCCAGATGGACAACAGAGAATAAACGAGTTAGGATGTTACGATAACGTAATCTCTATCTATAAATGTCCTACAGCATTTCCCGTAGGCAAATATTTTTACTTATTAATGTCATAAAATATAAATTAATGGATTTTGTCACCATTTATGGTTTATGTTTCGAAGTAGTATGAAGAATAGACCAACGTGGCCCAGGCTTCAACACAGTCAAATTACTCTTCTCTGAGTCAATTTTCATTCGTTTCAATTCGGTTTGGTTAATATTCCCGCCAAATTCTTATTGCGACTGAGTTCTCCTGAAGAAGTATTGAAAATTGGGCCCTTTTACCGTATAAAGATTCAGTTTCCGTAGGAATGGTTGTATAGGGTTCAAAAGAGTACCCGTATTGATTCCAAGTTTTCACACCGTATTTAGAATCCGGAATACTATTATTAAGCAATTTTTGTGGCGAAATTGTAAAAAAAAAATTGCAATGTTTTTCCTTATCTCAAGACAGGGGATTATATAGGGAGTGGTTGAAAAAGTGATCCAACCCGAACCATTTTTAATATTGTTTGTCCGAGAAAGTTATCCTAAATAACAAAAAGTGGGTCTATCTCATGGATGTTACAACTGTTCACACAAACACTATGCTCTAACTGGGCTTATACTTTGGTTGCGTTGTTAAGATGACTTCCAGGTTATTCAAAAATGGTCCAATCTCAGCCAAATTTCTCACATTTACTTAATGTGCGAAATTGTCGAAAAACTTTAAAACTCAAATCGATCCATCCAATTATCACTAAACCTTGTACTATATACTATATACGGATTTAATATTAGAAATGTTTGAAATACTTATTCGAACCTACACTACGTGTAGGACCAAAATAAACACCGTTCCATTATCCACCGATTCGTCGCGTCCATTGTCACACCGAAGCGGATAATGGATAATGGATCTCAGAGCTTTGAAAAGATGGAGCTTTAGCTTTGAGCCAAAAAAAATGCAACTTCAGTTTCGCTGACTAATTCAAAGGATAGTGCGGTTAAATCCTTACGAGTGGTGAAAGGTGGACCCACTACAATAACCAAAGTCTTAGTAATCAGGATAGAGAGTATGCGAACCCATAACATGGACTATGAAGATGGATAGCTTTGATGGTCCCATTTGAAGGGTTACCTGCAGGTGTTGTATTGATGGTAGCTCCAACAAAATGAAACCATCTCTAAGGAGTACAACTTCCGCTAATTGATGTAATTGTTAAAACGATAAGAATTGGCCCGAGCGAAGGGAAACAAATGATATCGTGGATTTTTAGTATGAAGGAGTTCACCTTTGTATGGCAAAACTCGCTTAGAAAATGCTTGAAGTTCTCACTTGAACTGTAGCCCACGCTATTATCAGCAGAGCTTAATTTTTTTGATTAACACGCGTGTCAACATATGACTTAGGCGACACGACAAGTTCTTTTGGAGATAGTCTAAAAGAGGAGAGCTTTTTGCGAGAATTGCCTAAAGGATGAGGAGGAGTCGTAGCTAATGATGAACAATACTTTGAGTAAAAGACATTGCATTTCAAAGTTACAAAAGAAAAACACTCGAAACTTATTTATGCACACATGTGCCTTAGTCTAGGCATGCTGCCTGTTGCATATATCCGTACAAACTTAATATATCTTTAACAATAGCAGCTGCACAGGATGTTAACCTTTAATCCTTACATCTAAAGTGAATAAAGTAATAATAAGTGCAGAATTAAAAGCAATCATAGCAATTTATAAAACATTTGTATTTCTTTTATGTTTTCTCCTTAATTTTCTATTTTATGTGTAAGTTTTTCTGTTTGCTTTCACTGAGATGCAGCGAATTTTCTACTGTCTGCTGCATTTGCATTGACTGACATTATAAAAGCAACAAGAAGGCTTTAGCGAAACCTTGGCACTTGTTGTTGTCATTACCACTAACTAACACACGTTACAACTGTCGCCGCTAGAGAGCAACAACAACCACAACAACAGCGTTGTTCAACTCTGATGTTGTTAAAATTGTGTTTTAATTATCCGCCATCAAAAATATATACACAAATGTATGCTTACATGGAAAATGACGAAGGCGAGCAAAATAGACGACACACCAAAAAATATACATTTCCGTGCTAACATAAAGATTATTCAGCTATAGACATTTTTTTTTTTTTTTTTTTTCAACTTCATATAAGAGCAAAACTACGAAATTTTGTGTGCATAAAACTGCTTTTTTCACTCTTTAACATAAACGGAATTTTTTTCCTCTTCTATGTCTAGCAACGAAAGAAACCATTAATGAAAAGGAGGGGAAAATCGCAGGCAAAAAGTTTAGTTAAACCCTGAAATTTGAATACCCACCGCATAAATATCTGCAAACAGATATGCAAAACGTTCCGGCTTTTCAAGGGTAGACTGCGAGTATTTCAATGCCTCAAAGGTTAAGTCGACTAAGTGCCTTATACTAATCGTGGATAGTTGCATGCCGTGGCGTACTACTCACTGGATGTTACGAATCAAGTGATCGAATTGATATACCCTTGCCGTTTGATGATGGGTATAGAAGAAGGAGGAGAAACAAGACCGAAATCATTTGCTTTACATGATGCTATGCTTTATTTGCTTGGTTTGTTTGTGTTTACATCTCACACTTCACACATGCAAACAGCAACACGACATATGTGTTCGTGTGTGCAGTGCAGTGCAGTGCAGTGTGCTGTACGTCTGTTAGATTTCAGAAAGATGTAGACTTAAAGTTGTTTTGACTTTGTTATGTGACAAACGGCAATACAACGGCGACCAAAAACAAAAAGTAAAGAAAAAAAGAAGACAAGAAAAAAAAAAAAAAACAAGAAAATTTCTAAATAAATGTAAACTAGAAAACTCAGTTACATTCAGCCATGCGGTTGTATTTTTGAGAAAGACTGTGAATATGAATGTAAGCGAATGAATGAATGACTGATTGAATGGGAGTGTGACTGAAAGTTGTTGTTTATATGACTGAGCGAGTAAATGAGTATGATATGTATTGTCGTCTCAAGTTGATACAGCAACCGTTAAGTGTCACATACATTGTGACATTAATCTTTGTCGTTTGCAAGTAAAGAATGAATTTTTGAATAGTGTTACTGTCAAGCTATTGCCGTTGCCGACATTGTTGTCGTTGTCGTTGCCCTTGCAAATGCACATAAGAGATCAACATTTTACGTTAAAAAAAATAAAGAAATAGGAGAAACCTTAGTTATTACCATTTTTTTCATATATAACGAAAATTAAAAAAAAAATTTTATTGCCTACTTTTAAGTGATACTTGTGTAAAACCGATTGTAAGGGATTTTAGGGAGCCTTGAAAACTTTTACATATTTATTCATATCTATTCACATAGAATTTAGATGTTTATTTGAATGTTGTTACCCATTCGAGTTTTTTTTTTATTTTTTATTTTATTTCTTTTTTTTTTGTTAAACATTTTCCTTAATTTAGCTTTGCCAAATTAATCCATTGCAGTGAGTATTCTTCCAACTATATTAAATATATTAGTTTCCATTAAGATTAGAGAATAATACTAGGCCCGCAATATGTTATTATGAAGGCTTTGTACCATCAGAAAGTACACTCTGCTATCCTAAATCATAAATTATGACATGCCTTTTGGCAAAGATAATTAATTGTTTGGACGAAATATGTCCAGATCTTACCATACACGCTCATTGAGATACCATTTTTCATTAGATGTTTTATGAGTTTGGATCTATCAGTAGATAGGTCTAATTTCAAAAATTTTAATTTGCACAGTAAAAGGTTAGTTTGAGAATATTTCTGCGAAAATGCGCTGACAGTTCAAGGTTCGCAAGAAACACGCTTTTGACAATGTATTGTTGAATAAACTTACATCTGAGTTGAAAATTGTTCGAA